TTTGTATTGTGAGTAAATGAATAGCTAGAATGATTGAATCGGTTAATTTTTCAAAAGAAAAACTCTGCCCGTTGCATAACCCTGGTTCTTACATTCGCAACCTCTGTATTTTCATCACAGTCTTAGAAAAGAACCAGACTCTGGTCTAAAATCAAATGCATCTCAAGCACAATAGGACTCCGATGCCCTAAGAGGAAAATATATATCATGATTAAAAGGCATATCAAAAAACTGTGAAATTTGAAGGAGATTGACAAAACTCCCAAGTGGCACAGAAAGAGATCAAGAAGGCTTTCTCTCCTTAGTTACAAAAATATATGAAATACTGTGTATAAAAGTTAGTAAAGTCTTAAAACGCATGTCTGAATCACTGAGGGCTCTAGAAAACATTTGGCTCTTTGTGTGACGGTTCCCTTTAGTTCAGCTGCAGCTACAGCAGGGGGAGTCGATGCCTGTTTAATATCTCTCAGGATGTGTCAGAGCTGTGGGGATGTTTTTTTTGGAGATTTCAGCAGACGGGATGTAAATTGGCTGTTTTTGAGTGAGATATTGGAGGCTTTAGCTATTATATTATATTATATTAATTTTGCATTTGCATAATTTAGTTTGCAGCTGTGATTTTATCAGAACAGAAAAACATTTTCAGGTCACGACGACCCACCAGTTGAGAACGACTGTGACAGAGTGAACTGGATAAGATATTGAGTTAACGGGTGAAAACAGGATGGTGACTTTGAGTAAATAAACTATCTACAGTTGTTTATTTATTTAGTCACAGCAGGGAGATAAAAAGGGTGCTGGTGAAATATACACGTTAAGTGTGGAGGGATGGTGAAAAACGAGATATATCCTGACAGTCATAAAAGAGGAAAACCTGTCTTCCTGTCCTTGGAGCCAGGATTTCCGCAGTAAAGTCGGCAGAGAGCGCTGAGGTGTCAGTGAAACATTGCTCCTGTCCCATGACCTCTGCAGGCCTCCGCTTCCACTCACAGACAGACAGGAGACTGTGAATCTGTAACCTTCCTCTAATACACTTCCACACACACAATCCAGAAATAACTTGCACGTAAACACATGGGAATTTATCAGAATGTTTTATTTTTTATAGTTAGAATTATATCAGGTATAACACACAAAAATCACAATGTTTTAGACAAGTCTGGCTCAGTTCCTTAATGTTTTCCTTTTCTTTTTTAATACAGTAAAACAAAACAAAAAAAGGCAACGAACCTGAAAACAAACTCCGAGAGGTATTAATGAAACTCGTAATAATCTGCAATTCATCAATAATGATACAAATCGGAAAGGTCATAATTATCATAACAGCTAGGATGACTGGAATCATACACGTGTCACAATATCCTGTACCTCATGTAAAGCAAACAAATTTCATGTGTTAAATATACAGTACAAAGACATTCGGTTCATAAAAGTGTACTGACTCTGTTCTAAGCACCAACTTGTGAGATTAAATTCATGTTTTCAAACCTACAGATCATTTATACAGACAGAGAGAGACCGGGGAGGGAGGGGGATCAGCACCATTTTGAATCAGACGTTCCCCCGTAAGCCTCACCACATCAGCACAACAGAAAGAATTACGAAATATGCATGTCACTAGGCATACATTTCCATTACCCTTCAAATTGCGCAAATTGAAATTGCAAATTGAAAATACACCTAATGGAAACGTGCCTTCAGATAAGAGAAGCATCATGGACGATCAATAAATACAAAAGGTAAAGACAGGTAATTAAATAAAATAAAAAAAAACAACAACAAAGAATAATTCAGTTATGATTCAATCCGATTGAGAAATGCATCGAAAGCCACAAGTTCGCAGGAATGGTTTTCCTTTTCTTTTTTTGAGTTGTACAAAAACGATTCACAAAACACACACAAGGTTTTCCAGACAAATGCAATCAAATAAGTTTTGGATTAAACCCGTATTTTTTGGAATAACTGTTACATATACTGTACCTCACGTGATATTTTAATGCTCTTAAATGTCATTAATCAAATACCATGAAATCACCTTTTGTCTAAATGCATACCACAAGGCCCAAATGGTGTTAGTCTAGACTGTTAAAAAAAGTTTCTTTCTTTCCGAAAACCCTTGACAACTTAAAAAAATAGCACCCAGTCAAATATGCAAATACCATTTACAAAAGGTCAGACTTGTAGTAAATATGACATGACCGAAACAACAGAAAAACAAAACGTAATGCCACCGCAATGGTCATCAGCTCCGAGAGAAATGAATCCCCTTGCTGTTATACATGTTGTATCAAAGCACCACTCATTCAGAGACACTGGCTAACTGGACTGGACTGGTGACATCGTCTTCCATTTGCATAAAAAAGTAAACTACATCAGCACCTGAATTAATGCACATGCTCAGCTAATTTTTGACATTTTTAAAAAGGAATCACAGCAGTTATCCATTGTGGATGAGTGACCTGGTAGCCAAGTTCCACGTTATTGTTAAAGTCCAATGATGTAGCACCACTCGAGTCATTCTATAATCAGGAGCGTGAGAACTATCAGATGTCTGAGGGGAAGACGACTGCGCTGGAGAGACATCTGTTGATAGTATTGTAAACAATGTGAAGTAAACAGCGATTTGTTGGGCTGTTCCATAAGTCTGCAGTAGTGGTTTTGGTAATAAAAATAAGGAGAACGTAAGGTTTATGCCGCTGATTTGGGGCAGGAGGGTAGGAGATTTGGTTATGGCTGTGTAGTTTCAGACATCAAGTTCATCTACTGCACGGGACTGGAGCCTAGGAAGAGAATACGCATGCATTACAATTGCTGTGAAAAGAATTCAAATGTACTTATAGTATCATAGTGGTCAATGACGATTCCGTTGATGGATTATTTTATTTTAAATAGGTCCAGGAAACATTTCATATTATAAATTATATTATGCATACTGAAAATGAAGCCTATTTTATAAAAACGAAACATTCAAATATAATAAAAAATAGCATTACATATTGACATTTTATTTTAAACACACAGTTCACATTTCACAAAAATATTACAAATTCTATTTTGCATACTGAAAATGAAGCCTATTTTTTAAAATTAAAATAAAAAACAGCATTACATATTGATTTTTTTAAAACATGTCCAGTTCATTTCACAAAATTATTATACATTCTATTTTGCATACTGAAAATTGTCTATTTTCAAAAAATAAAATTAAATAAAAATATCTTATTTTATTATTTTTAAACACATCAGGGTCACATTTTACGAATTCTATTTAGCATAATGAAAATCAAGCCTACTTAAATTTTATATATATATATAAAAATCAAGCCTACATATATTTTATATATATATATATATATATATATATATATATATATATATATATATATTGCATATTTTACTTTAAACATGTCCATGCCACTTTTCACAAAAAATAAATGAAGATTCTGAAAATGAAAACTATTTAATTTTTTTTAAATATAATATAATTATATTTTATTTAAACATGTCCAGGTTTCATTTCGCAAAAAAGTAATACACATTCTATTTATTATATTACAATTCTATAATAAAAAAAAAAGAATAAAAACTAAATTAAATTGTATTTAAATATCATTTTATTTTATTCTTATTTTTTTAATTGAGTTTTTTAAACATGTTCCAGTCACAATTCACAAAATAATTATAAAATTCTAGCATACTAAAAATTAAGCCTTTTTTTTTTTTTTAAATAAAAAAGTAAAATAAAACATTATTACATGTTACACTAGTTCATTAGTGTGTATGAGAGTGTTTGTCTTACCAGGGTGAAGTTATCATATGTGTTCATGAGCTCATTGATGCGGTACTGCTCCAGCACCACCACCCCGCTCAGACTGGGGCTGTGCTCCCGAGTGCAGTCCTCACAGTGAACCACATACGTCTTCCTACTGCTGTTCTCACTGGTCACAAACAGTAGGTTAAACACCTCCACCTGTTTACACACACACACACACACACACACACAAGTACATCAACAAGATACTACGACTTATGACAGAATATTATTTGGTGCATTGAGTGCTGGTGGTCCTCACGTCGCACTCGTTGCAGTAGTACGCTGGCTCATCCTTCACCCTGCTCTGATAGGAGATCTTCTTGCCTGCAGACACCAGCTGGTCCCTCAAAATCTGAATGTTTTTGATGGATTGGAGTAAACAGTGTCTGAAAGACAAGACAAAGAGGAGGTGGAACTATAAAATAATGTAAATGTATGTAAAATGAATGTAGGTTTTAATGACAAATAATGCAACGCCGCACTAACTTGATCATCTTAAATGTGTCTGGGTCTGTGATCTTGATTGTGCGGGCGACGTTCCAGGACACGTGAATCATGGGGACGATTGATTTGACTTTCTTGAGCTCGTTCCACTCAAAACGTTCAAGAGCCAGCTGGTATTGATGGGCTGGGAAGACAAAGGGCATGATGCAAGAGCTGAAAGTATGCAGTAAATGTTTGGCGAATGTCTTTGGCGCCCCCTATCGTCACACTATATACTCACCATTTAAAGGGCCAACGTTCCAGGCAATGTTGTTGCACCAGCCCACAGCCTGGACCCAGTGCACAGTGCCAGCATTGATCCACACGAGGTCACCAGGTCTCTGAATGAAGCGGTACACTGGGATGTTTGAATGATACAGATCCTCCAGAACCGGCCAC